TGGATCGCTCTTAGCCCGAGCTGGTCATGAAAGGCAGGGTGGGAAGCCCGTCTCTTAAATTTTTTTTTGGTCTATAAGGACGTAAAATCAACAAAAACATAAAGACCCCCCCCCAAAAAAAGAAAGAAATTTAATCGGGTAATCCGGATTAGTTAAGACTGGATCCGTGGCCAGCACCCACCTCGAAGAGCTGAGAGTAAAGTCCGTAGATGACAGAGTCCAGACGAAAAACATTACTCTCATAGCTGTCCATGGATCCGATGGAGGAGAGGGAGGCGGACAGACCCATCTTGTATTGGGCTGGGGAGGAGAAAGAAAGAAAATATATCAATGAATAAATGAATAAATTAACAAAGGAATAAATCAATTACGAACCGAACAACAGGGTCACTTTTGGGTTTCTTTAAAAAAAAATCATTTTTAAAAGAAGATTTTACAACTTAAAACATGACCAAAGTCAAGTATATTTTTTGCTTTACATTCTAAATATTTCTTAACCTGAAAATGTAACTTTGGGTGGATTGTGCCTTTTATTTTAATCGAATAAGCTATAGAAAGCAATAATTCCATGATTTCAAGTTTGTGACTTTGATCATTTACTGTAAAAAAAAATATAGCCAAAACTGTTTTCGACAATCGACAATGTTGTATTGTCGTGGAGAAAGGTGATCGCCTACAGTGTCATTACACAATTTTAAGAAATACTCAAGACGGAAGGATGGAAAGGAAGCGGCCACTTGCACAGATGATTGTCTTATACAGGCGACCGTTAGAGCAGACTGGCCTGTACTTACCAGAATATTTTCCTCCGAACTTGACGAAGGAGTGTTGCAGGCCAGTGCGGTACATAGGAGCATTCTCCAGCGCAATGCTGGCGTTTCTGGACCTGAAACCATCAGTGTGGGTTTTGTTTTAGTGTAAGTATTGTTGTTTTTTGTTTTTTGTTGTTGTTTTCTTTTTTGGTAAGTGTTTTACTACGCTCACAACTGCGTAAGGTCATGTGAGCATCCGGAAAACATTAAACATTTTCAGTGTGGTAGGAATTAATTTTTAATTTTGCCCCAGAGGTGGTCGAAGCCTTCTTTTATCGTTTAGGACCACTAAAGGACCTTTAACGTGAACAACGTGCACATGGGACTTCTGAGATTGCTCATTCTTATCCGAGAAGGCTATGAGCAGATCTAATCTACCATAAGTCAGGGGTGTTGCTGAAAGACAGTAAGAAAGACTGCAGAAAGATTCAGGAGCCCATGGGAGGGGGCAAAGGAGGAGAGGGGGTAGGGGTAGAAAAGGGAGACGAAAGCAGACGACAGAATATTGTTAGAGAGCAGGCACGGATGTGAAAGGAGAACATTTTAAAGAGGAACATTTTCCGTCGCTATCCGGATTCGTACCCGCGACCTATTGAATAAGAGGCGAACACCTTAACCTCTACACCACGAGAGCCCCCCCCC